TGATTTTTTAGTTCTTTTGAGCGACGTAAGAGTAAATTGATTTCTTTTTTCAAGAATTATGTCTTTAATACATTATCTGAAGATAAAAGTCAACCATCTATTACTTCTATATGTATAGATTTTGACTTTTGTATTAAAAGATTTTTATAAAGTTTAAAAAACTTTGATTTTAAGACAACTTATTCTTTATTCTAAAAAACAAGTAGATATTCTTAAATCTAATAAGATATTTGTTTAAAGTTTTTGTGGGCCAAAAAAGGTATTATAAAATAATAAGTAAATTGGATAGAGAAAGAGGGAACTTGATGAATATGATGTGTTGAAATGTTCAATCATAAAATTCTTACTATAATTGGGCCTCTTTGTTTTTATGAATGATTATACTTTTAATCCTAGTTGTATGTTGTTTCTTTAGAAAATTTTTAGATTTATGGCCTTCTTTACTACAATATAAGGATAGGCCTTGTTTAAATTGATGCTTCTTCTCCTTTATTATAAGAGGTTTGAACTATACTACATAAATTTGCATATCCTTTATATAGAATATGATCTTTAATGTAATGAGCAAATCTTTGTTCTTGCTTATTGGACCTTCTCATATTTTTCAAATGCCTTTATAAATGCTTCTAAAAAAGCTCTAAAATTGCTGAAGATTGAAGATCTCTTTTCAAATAAAAGAAAAAACCAAAATAAGGCTTATCTTGTAAAAAAAGGTTCTAATTAAATAAACTTGTATGCCTATGTTGGATAGCACTTATGTTGTAAAAAAATTACTAATCAAATTTGGTTAATAAAATTTCAAAACTTAAAGCACATGCCATCAAATTTTTCTAAAGGATTAATCTAAGGCTCCTTAAGTTGTATAATAGATAGATTTTTTTATTTAGGTAGAGATGCCATTGCTTCTTTAGATATAAAAACTTGAGAAAGTAATTGCATCATAGGTTGAATTGCTCTAAGTCTTGCATTACCATAAAATCTTGCAAAAAATCTCTCAATTTTAGTAATTCTTCAAGATAAAGTATTTAGCATATTCATAATAATATCTAATTTGGAGTCAAAAGATTCAACCATATTAATATCTTTATTTCTAGCCATCTTGAAGGAAAAAAAGAAAGATTTTAAATAATATTAATTTAGAGGAGAGTATTCTGTAACCTCTAAAGTACTTAAATGATTTTGAAAAGAAAGGTAATCCACTCTCTATTAAGAAGAATCAACCTCTAATATTGATAAGAAAGTAGTCTTGAAAAACTATCATGGATACACTATACAAGAGACTAAACAAGAAGTTGAATAGAAGAATTTCAACAAGAAAGTTAATACAAATTTAATTAAACTAGATGAGTATAAGATCAATATTAAGAAAAGTGAACTAAAACTCCAAAAAATATATTATCAAGACTAAGAATCCCCTTAATCTTGAATCCAATATATACTAGGTATTAAAAAGCTTCACAAGAAATCTTCATGTTGCTTGAAAAGAAAAAAAATTTAAGAAGTTTCTATTTTGCTTGAAAATAAAGCAATCCTAAAAAGCTTCTCAGATAACTTCTTTAATCCTTCTAGAACCTCCTAAAACACTTTAGAATCTTCTAGAATCTTTTAAAATATTCTAAAAACTTTCTAGAATCTTCTATTAATATATTCTAAAAATCTTTTAAAACCTCCTATTAAAATATTCTAATACTTTGATTGAGAAGTCTTTACATTTAGATTTTTAGTGTCAATGTCACAACTTAAAATTCCAAAATATATATATAATTAAAATAAAAAAATAAAAAAATAAAAAATAAAAAACTAAGATGTATAAAGAAGATATATTTAAAAAAGAATACCATAACTAAGTAGTTATTATTAAGAAACAAGATGGCTTTGAAGCCTCAAAAAGAACTAATTCAAGAGATAAATTTACAAGATTAAAGAGGCTTCACTTTTCTTTCTACTTATACTAATTACAAGGCCAAAGACTTATTGCTTAAGACCTCAATACCTCTCCACATAATCTATTTAGAAGACTTATTGAATAAGCTTCTAACAACAATTGTTTTCTAAGATTTTACAGAAATTTTTTAACAAAGTCACCAAATGTAGCTTAATTTCTAAATTAGATTAAAAATAAAAAGAAAAATAACTTCTTTAATGAATCATTTAATATTGTTTGTTTTCTTAATTCTTTGGTAGTTGCTTCTTTGAAGCTTCTAAAAAAATCTTTTCAAATGTAAAAGATTTTTAGAAGGTTTTTAAATCTTTTTTTGATTTTTACATTTGTGACTATTTACTCAATTAATAAGTCAAGTAACAAAACTTTTGTAAGAAGTCTTGTCAATAATTTTGATAGCAATATAATAAAAGCGATTTTAATAAAAAATCAACATTAAAAGAAATCTCATAAAAATAAGATTATTATTAATTTCATTAATATTATGTAGAAATTTTTAAAATATATAAAAGTAAAAATATTACTACTAATTAAATTCTATTATTAAAAAAATGTTAAAATAAAAATATTATTTTTGATTAAAGATAAATTATATCAAACAATAAAAACTAATATATTAGCATAATTATGATAACAATTGCATGTAAAAACAAACTTGTGCACCATAAAAATTTAGAAACACAACTAAGAAAAGTTATCAAATTTAATTATCAATTATTGATGACATATTTAATTTCCAAACATAAAAAGAAAAAAGAAAAAATCTTTAGTAACATTTTAAATTTATATTTTATATTTGTATGCAATAGTTGTTAAGTTAACATGGACTTTAATTTATTAATTAACAACCAATAAATACCATAAAAGCCGTTCTTAACTTTTCATAAGTTTTATTATAATGTTTATTATAACTTTCAATTTATAAACACACAAGCTTAATTTAAATAACTTCTAAAAATAACAATTGATATTAGAATCAAATCTTTAAAAATTAGTACCTTAGTTCATTTATACATTAATTAATTAATGTAATTAACATAGGTATTATATTATAAAACGTGAAAAATAATAAAGCATCCCAATTTTTTATCAAATCGACCCACATGCCCCATTCCTAGCCGCTCCCATGTTCTTAGCTATTACTCCCATTTCCAATGTTCCTAGCTTCCATCCTTTTCCCTAGCAATGGTTGGAAACAAGGAATGACTAAGAATAGGAATGGAGACTTTAAGGGTGCATTGATGCTTAAGATAGAGTAGATTGCTTTAGTAAAAATTTCGATCACTTTATCATTTTTCTAAATTATATATATTTATAAAGATAGTTATAAAGGTAATATTACAATTATATTTATAGATGGTGATTTTCTACAAACATTGTCTACCATTAATAGCTCAAGAAATTCATATACTAACTACAAAACCATAAATTATATATATAAATATATATATATATATGTATATCTATACATTTTTACATGTAATGTATTTTTAAAACATCCATTTTATTTCTTAGAGTATGATTTTGTATTTGACAATTGTAAAGCTTATTATGAAAAGAAGAAACAATGTTACAAACACAACCTTCATAAGCTTTTTTAAGATTTTTTAAGTAATTTTATATTTTTACAATCATTTACAAGTTTTCCAAAAAAAATTAATGACATAATTATGGAGAAAGTTTTCTTCAGAAAATTTTCCAAATACATTGATACATAAATCTAACTGAAAACCTCCTAATAATTCTTATTGTTATAGCTGCCATTTTAGTATTTTCTAAATTAAAACCAATGCTCTAATAATTACAAGTACTATGTAGAAATCAGGTTCTAATTGTACTTGATTTAATTGAGTTGATTCTTAAAATTTGTATTTTCTGTTATTTGTTATCCTTATTAAACACTATCATGACTACATAATTGTTACTCATTTCTCACATAATTATTTATTGATGTATCTTCATGCTATTTTCTATGTGCAATACTGAATGTATGACTTGAGTATTAAGTTTAACATTAATATTTCTTGGCTAAAATACAACAAAAACGCAAATGATCAGTATTCTACAAATCTGAAAATGATAACACATCTACCATAAAGATGTTTTAACTTCCTTGTTTGTATACAAAATACAAATACAATACAATGTTGCAACTAAAACTCTTTGATTTTTCAACAATTAGTGATAAAGTTAAAATTAAAAAATGAGAAATAACAAGGTATACATATATTTCTTGATGCATCTCTATATATAAATGCATATGTAAAGAAAGTTAAATATCAATAAAAGAAACGTGTCAGAGAATACACTCAATGCAGTTGTTAAATTATCACCTCCGTGGTATAGCCTTAAATCTTAATAACAAACTGAGCATCAAAAGTTTCTATGAACCAATTATCAAAGCTGAATATACAATGAATCAGGGAATTCAAGACTGAATGAATATGTTAAATAAACAGTACGGTGACTATAATTTAGTATAAAAACTTAGTTGCTACTTCCATTCTCACTGAGCGAATAGAACAAATAAAACAAAATATATACCACGCAAAAGGACTGTTTCGTTGACATTGGCGGACTATCTATAACGATTCGTATGTGAACCTTAATTCTTATACAAATTCACCCTCGCATCAAATGAAACTAGACTTCCACAAATCTGAACAAAGCCCACCGCAAACGACGACGCAGGCAGTTGTCATTTCTGCAACATGCGTCGACCCAATGGAATGTCCATTATTACAGCAAATCCAAAACCAAATATTACAAACGCAAAACGTACCTGAATCAGAAAGTTGGGATTTCTCAGCGATGACGATTTCTTGCAACATATAGATTCTTTTTGAACTATGGGTGCCATTGTATCCATCTGAAACCTAGTAAGGTGGCACTTAAAACAGTTGGCCAACTTCAAAAGTGACCATGAAGATGGTTATTCCAGAACATCAACCCACAACCACTAAAAGATTGACAAAGCAACCAAGGAGCTCAGATAATACATTTATTTTCAATCAGAAATGCTTGAAGGTGAGGTTCAAAGATATTCAACGCCTCAATGAACAAACAGACGATGAGTGATAAGTATTCAATTAGAATAAAGCCTACCAAAGCCCTCAAGAACTGAATGACTAAAATACCAAAGCCAGAAAAACAGATTTATCTGTACAGAAACGGTGGAATCGAATTCTATGAAGACACAGTATTACCATACTACCCACTACTACTGAATTACGAAACCTCTACCGTGGACCTCGACCTAAACCCTGATTTTTAAAGAACTGAGATGCTAATCAGTGTTTTTAAGACAAACTGAGCCTCAGCACATCGAAATCTGGACATCCAAAAATTGTCGTATTATTCGAATATAGGATACTGGTGCTAAACTAATGAATTCCCGTTTACGACCTACAATAAACTCATTCCAGGAGAATTGTTGGTCCGAGTTTGAATAGCAACTACTAATCAAGCAAAGCCCCGCATGAATTAAGACTTCCGTGTACACAACCATAGGTAAATGCTCATGAGAAATTCAAAATGTGATAAGAACAACCATACAGTACAACCACAGTGTCCATCACTAAACCTCCCCTAAAGACCTCGGCACTGTCACGTAAAAACCCAAAAATGCTGGAATCACAAATATTGCAAATTTCCATGCTTAACGTTTGCCACCGGCACTGGTCTTCGCAGCCTTGGGCTGAGCTGCCCGTGTCGCCTGCTTCCCGACCCCCTTCGTCGTCTTCACCATCTCGGCCTTCTTCGCCTTCTTCTCATCCTTCGTCTTCTTGATCCTCTCCTTGATCTCTCGCAACGCCGCCTCCCGAGCTGCGGCGCGGACCTCGGTCTTCTCGGTCCTCTTCTTCTGGATCACCTCCAACGACGCGCCCACGATGGACCTGGAGTAGGGTTTGTTGGTGGTTCTACGCTTCTTCTTTACGGCGGTGTCGTGCAAATCTTTCTTGTGTTGCTTCCGGAACAAAGCCGTCCACGAAAGCTTCGCGGGCTTCAGCCGGTTGTGGAAGTACCGCTTGCACTTGCTATTCAGGAACAGGAACACCTGACTGTCGCTGCGGATGAACCTGATGCCCCGGCCGGGGTAGATCTTGGCGCCGGAGAACCTGCAGACCTCGGTCTTGAGCACCATGGTGGCCGACTTCGCACTGCCAGACGACGACGCTGCTGCTGGCGTTGTAGTGGACGGAGCACACGGCGAGCGAGAGAGGGCTATCCCGAGGCCACCCGAGCAGTTCAAGACAGAGCAACAAGTGCACAGTCCCCGAAACCCTAATTCCTGCGCTTGCTCCCCTGCTTCTGTTCCCAACCATGTTCACCACAATGTTCCTGAAAGCATGAGGGAGGGGAATTGTTGCTACACTTTGTTCAATGTTTCACCAAACTCACGAAATCGTTACAATGGTTATTTGTAAAAGATAGGTATTAATCTATAATATAATTTAAATAAATCAATGGCATTTTTTTTTTTTTAAATTATGGCATTACAATGTACAAAATCTTCTTGGCTTTATGGTGACATTGGTCCTTGCATTGCATCCAAAATATAAAGAGGTGTAATTTTGTATACTCATCAAAATAACAAAACAAGATAACTATGTAAAAACCAACATCACCAATGTGACGGTTCAAAGAAATGTCCAATTTTTAATTATCTTGAATATATATATATATATATATATATATATTTCACTAATCTCTTTGAAATGTATTTCAAATAATAAAAAATTAAAATAAAATTTATAGCTATTCTAGTTAAATTATATTTATTAAATTTAAAATTATAATTATAATTTTATTTTAGAAAATATTAACTTAAATTAAAATGAAAATTTATTTTTTATTTTATCAGGTTTTGATAGATTTTATTTCTTTATATTCAAAATATGTATTATTAAAATTTCAAAGCAAAAAGTATATTATTCTCAAAAAATATTAAATAAAAAGAAATAATAATTTTATAATATTATTATTAATATTAAGATGTTAATTTTAATCAAAAAAATTCAACCTACTTAATATTTAAAATCAAAACAAGACAATAAGATAGGACTAATGTAAAAGAAATTAAAATAAAACTTCTACAATAAACTTGTAAAGTTGGAAAAAAAAAATAGTTTATTTGACAATCTTTGAGATTGTATTGTCTATTATCAAAAATAAATTAATCAATTATCTTATTCATATATTATAGGGATTAAAATATATTACCAAAATAAATATCTTGACTATCATTTGTATTATTAATAGATTCAAAAATCAAAGATAATTTAAACAATAAAATAGAATGAGATAAAAATAAAATAAATAATTTTTATGACAAATTTTGGTTGCATAAATAAAATTTATCATACACAATAAATCAAGTACAAGAGATCAACATGAAGTATGTAATCTAAACCAAATACAAATACATAAGCAACAAACTTTCAAGGAAAGATAGAAGATTTAAACACCACCAAGTCGAGCTATCTTTCATACTACAAAGAAGGAATTTAAGAATACAAGTTTGTTTATAAAAATTCTGAAAAATTTAGTAAAAGATTAATAACTATAGCCAAGCAAAATCTAATGACAAAAGCTTTATTTCCCTCAAAATCACTCACAAGACTTAACTTGATAAGAATGTCATGTCAAGGGAGTTTTTCCACTTAAGTCTTAAAATCCTAATTGGCACTAATAAGCTCAACTAATGGAAAAAACCAAGTGGATGAAAATCTATTAAATTAAACTAAATTAGATTATATATATCCGATAAGATTTAGCACCTAATATCACATCACATGATAATTATTGTATAAATAAAGATTTTTGTACACAACAAATTGAATGCAAAAAATCAACATAAAATATGAAATCTAAACCACACACATTTAATACACAAATAATACACTTTCAAATAATACACTTTCAAATGCATAAATAATACACTTTCAAGTACTTCTTCTTAATTGATTGGAAGTCCCTCTATTGAGCTAGGACAATAATATAAACATAATTGAAGATGAATGTTACAATGATATTGTTATAAAATTATACACATTAAAGCTAATGTTGTAGAAGTTAAATCATTAAAACATGTTATAAACATGAAAGAAAAAATCTTCAATTCTTGTTAATAGATGAAGTATGGTATCAAAGATATGAATCTCAAAGAATTAAAATGTCAATATATTCTTGTATCACTCGAAAAGACTAGAGAATCATTTAAAGATGATATGATATTAAACTAGAATGGCTATTGTCAAAGATAAGAAGACTTAGAAAGTCTTGAGATAAGACTAAGGACTAGAAAAATATTGATAAGAGTGAAGAAGACTTCACTCTAGCCTCCATATATACTCTTAATTAGGAGCTATGTAATGATGTCTTATAAGACCTCCAAAACATGTTGACTTTATAAGACACATATCTTAACTTGTAAGCCAAGTTTTTGATATGTGCACCACATAATTAGTTTGTTTTGCAAGCTATCAATACGATGTTAATTTGTTGACCAAGTTTCTAAACTACCAATCAATTATAAACACAAGTAAACTCAAAGTAGTATCTATGAAGTTTCTAAGAAGCATTTCTATAAAATATTATAAAATAAATTTATTTTTATCTACTTCTATTTAGTCATATAGATAAATATTAGAGTATATCTATATATATATATATATATATATATATATATATATATATATGACATTACCTTCTCTTTTAAGAAGAAGTTCTACAAAGAGTAGTCATCATATGTTGAGAAAATCCAAGATAAGGCAAATTGTATTTGCCACAAATTCTGATCTTTATTCTCTTTGAAGATGGTTGATAGGTCCACTTAGCTATCAATAGTGTTCCATACCAAGGCAAGAAGACAACCTTATTATTTGATCATTGTTGAAGCCTTTGTAATTCCCTTCAAATAAAATATTTGAAACATTGTCAAGAATCATTCATACTTTTAATAAAACCACCAAACATTAAAATTCTCTTTCAAAGTTGTGATATCAAATACAATATATCTTTCCATCTATTTAAGAAAAGACATGTTGTCCTTGAAGATCTTCATCTTGATTATGTTGTCTTGAAGATTGTGACAAATACAATGTCTTATTTAATAAATCAGTAAGTAATAGCTTTTAAATTAAATCTATTAATAGTTAATTTTTTTTATCTCTTTAGCATTATAAATATACAAAAATTATAAATAAAAGTAGAAAGTAGAATATTTTCTTTTTTAGATCTTATTTCTTTTATAGAAAAAATTTATCATTCTTTATCTTAGTTTTCACGGATGTCATCAATAAAAAAGCCTCAACCTTCTTTGTTGCTTTTGCAAGATTTTTTGTTGACTCCCATATGCATTCAATAATATCATATCTGCACCAATGAATAAGTTATTCTATTCTATATTAGCATCCCCTTGAATCTAAGACTTCTTCTACTTCAAACTCTTGATTATTATCCACTTCTATAGGATGAAGTAGCATTTGTCTTTTTTTGAGATATTCATTGTCTTATATGGCTTAAAAAGAGACACATAGAATATAGAATGGATCTTTATAGACTCTAGTAGATGTATTCAATAAGCAACAAAATTGACTTGTTCACAAATAAGAAAAATTTTAAGCCTACAATAGTCCAACTTGTCATAAGGACAAGAAGGCTTGATATTGTGACAAAAAAGATATATCTTGTCATTTACAATAAATTGTGGTTGTTCTTTGCAATAAACATCCGAATTCATCTTTTTTCATTCTTGAACTTCTTTAATTATACCTTCATTATTGCATATAGCTTTGAAAAATAATTTGTTAAATCTTTTGTCATTAGATTATCAATTTTTAAAAAGTCAAAAATATCAAGTTATGGATGATAATTGTAATTGATAAAGTGTTTGTTGAATGAAGAAACATTATCGTATGGCATGATTTGCTATCTAAGAATACACTAGGTATCTAGATGTAGAGAGTTTAGCTTAAACCTTTATATGAATCTTATGTTAGCCTCCCAAAACTCCTTTATTTTGCATAAAACTCAAAATATATCAAAACCTCTTCAAAATATATTTTTCCGGCAAAGGATTTTCTTGTCTTGAACTTTAGAAATTCATAACTCTTCATCTAGCCGTTCAGTTTGTCTCAAATTTATAGAATAAGTAGAATTCACCCTTAAATTTTATCTCAAAAAAAACCAACTGCAAATTCACTTCCAATCTTTTGGCATCTAAGAAATCGTAGTAGATCCTCTAAACCCTAATTTGCAAGCATTTGAGCACTATTTTCTTAATATCTTAAGAATCCAATACCCAAATATCATCAAACTTAAGCACAAAGTTTACTAACATAAAATTACATATTTTCTGAAATTTTGAACCAAAATCTTGTCAAATTGCTTAAGATATAGCTCAAGACACAACCACTAGTAAATCGGATCACTTACTACCCTTAGATTGTATGCATTGACTTCAAAATCCAATAACTCCTTCATTCCAACTTGGAATCCAGCAAGGAACATATCATTAGTGTAGCCGTAAAAGTGTTCTCTTCAATAGCAGTCGCCGATCCTCAATTTTTATCTGTACCCGTGCGTTATGCCAAAAAGAGTGACAGTAGCTTCCAATTCGATACCTTAACTTTGAGCCCTTGTATCTCCTTCATATAAACTCCAAACCATACAAAATTTGTAACAAAACCATAGCCAAAAACCTAAACTTGTTTAACTTAGCCTCCAATTCTCAAAGGACCCCGAAATACTAACCCTAATCTCTAATATGGCCTCAGGTAGCCTCCTCAAAGCCCATTGGTCATGATTTTTGACCAATAGGAATGGAGATTTTCATCATCCAACTCCATTCATCTATATTGGTGCCCTAATTACTCCCTTTGCTACCAAAACCATTCTTCAATCTTTTTTCTTATAAGATTTACATAATTTATACTCTAAACATCATATAAAAGAACCAAAATAAGTTTCCAAAGGTCACCAATGTCTAACAAAGGTGACTCTAAATATTTAGAAGTTACTATCAACCAAAATCAATCTTAAAAGCCACTATCAAAAAGGAAATTAAAGTTATACAAATTCTATAGTAATCTTTTTAATCAACCTCTTCTCAAAGTAATAATCAAATTATATTTTACAACCAACTAAAATCTACTAACATGGCTCTCACTATGTTATTTAATAAATTATATATTAAGTACATAATTACATTATTTTCATATAGTAGCCAAACCACAATATGACAACATACC